CTCAAACATGTACTCTCTGCCCCCTCACATCTTTCTAAATATGTTTTAATAAACCTACCCTGCTCCTTAAAAAAAAAAAACCAACCTACTTTTTTTCAAACCTACCTTGAGAAAAAAATAAACCTACTTTTTCCAAAAGAAAAATGAAGACAAGAAACCAGCTCACATCAGCAGCTCTGACGCGTGTGGTGTGGGGGTGTCTGAGGAGAAGGTGACTCTCTTGGGGCTGACAGAGCTGCCTAGGGAGAGGGAGAGAGTGACCATGGGGGAACTGCACCTTGGGCCCCCAGGTCCTCCGCTTTGAGGTCACCCCTCATACCTCCTGTTGCTGTACAACAAACCACACTTGCAAGTTTAAAGCAACACACACCTCCTCACAACTTCAGGGGATCACAGGGGCATATGGGAGGTGGCGGGGACTCTGTTTGGGGGCTCTTACCAGGTGAAGGCACCTGGAGACCCCTGGTCTCACCTGAAGCTCAGGGAGCCTCTTGAAGTTCTAGCAGCTGAGGACAGAATTTGCCTCCTTGCAGAGGTAACACAGAGGGCTCATTTTTCTAGCTGGCAGTCAGCCTAGACTGTTCTCAAAAAAAAATTTTTTTTGGAGGATTGAAACCCAGCAGTGTTCAGAGTCTACTCTCTGCACCTTCCTTGGGGGACCAGGTGGTATTGTGAATGAATCCTGGGTTTCTCAAATGCAAAGCCTGTGCTCGGCCCATTAAGCCACCTCTGTGGTCTTGCTCTCAGGGTCCAGAAGCTCTCCTCAGGTCCGTGGCAGGTGAACTTTCCCTCACCACCTAGCAGCTCACCCTTCCTGGCCAGAAGCAGAACACTGTGACTGTGTCCTGGCTTCTTTGCTGGGGGAGGGCACACCTGATTAGACCAGGCCCAACCAACCAGGTTTCCTTTAGATGAATTCGAAGTCCCCCGGCTAGGGAGATGTCCTTGCAAGTCCATCATGGTGGATGATGGACAACAAATCAGCACTATCTACGTGAATGTAAAAATCACACCCTTGTCTTGAATCCTTGGGGTCACCTGAACCCTTCATCCTACCACTGTTCCTCGCGCCAAACTCCCAACCTCATTCTTCCCAGTGCTCCGTGAGCCCCAATCCCTCTTCTCCCAAGCCCTGAGTGAGGGAGACACAGCCTGGTCCTCCACCCCCCCTCCTCCACCAAAGCCCAGGGAACTCTGGAAACTGGGCACCAAAAGGGTCTCTCTGCAGACCGGGGACACCCCTCACCACCTCCAGGCAGTCCTCTCTGACTCTCCCAGGTTCCATCCCAGATGGAACTTCCCGTCTCCACTGGCTGCCTGGGCACCTATCTGCGGCTGCACAGCTCTGCACAGACAGCAGGTGGCGCTGGTGGGCAGGCGCCGATGGCTCAGCTCAGGCAGCCTCCTGAGGGCCTCCTCTATCACCTGGTTCTCTCCTGGCTACCTGGAAGAGGCAACCCAGGCTTGGTGGAGGCCTGCTGGCCCGGTGCATGGGCAAGGGCCTCCACGGGCATCGCCCTATCAGGAGGTAAGCGTATCCACTCTCTTCCGTCTTGCCGCCTGAGGGTGAGAATGAGGATTGGGGGGATGGGGTGCAAGAGGGGATTAAATCACCCAGCACCTACGCTGCGGGGTGGGGGATGGGGTCCTGAATTCTGCACCAAGGGGAGAAGCAGGGGTCTCCTTTCTCCTCCTTGTCCCTGCTCCGTGCTCAGAGTCGCCCGCACAGAGTTTGGCGACAGGTGCATGGCCAGTGCAGACCAAGAGGGGGTCCCGCGCTTCCCCCTCGGATGGGGACCAGGGACACTGGAGATGGGAGAGGCCCAAAGGGGCTGCAGAAAATGAAGGGAACACAGTTGCGTTGGGGTGTGTGTTTTTTTTTGCGTTGGGGTGTGTGTCTGGCGTCGGAAAAGCACCCGGTGCCAACCCCAAGCCCTGCGGCTCTGGGTGAACCGAAATCGCGGGCAATTGGTTGGACAGCACTTTGGAGGCCCCAGCTTGTCTCATCCTGCCCCACAGCATCTTTTTCTGTCTCACGTTGACCTTAGCTGGGGGAGCAAAAGCTCCGGTGAAGGCGGACACCCAAGGAGGTGACCCAGGGGCCCAGGGGCCCCACAAGAGGCCTCCAGGGCCTCGACTCCCAGAGGGCCCAGGAGCTCACTGGCTCTGCTGTCCCCTTCTCACTATCCCTTTCACACCCCGACTTCCCTGCCATCCCCCAAAACCCGGCCCCCAAACACCGCCTTCCCCCTCCCCCCAACACACACACCCTGCTCTGAGCCTGGTATCTCTTCCAGGATCCTTCTCGGACACTCACCAGGATGACCTTGGAGTTTTCCAGCATATCCTAACCTCCCACATGGAGGACTTTATGCAATTTTGGGGGCTGGAGCAATAGTACAGTGGGGAGGGCGTTTACCTTACACACAGTTGACCTGGTTTTGATTCCCAGTATCCTGTTTGCTTTCCCACCCCTAACCCCGCTAGGAGTGATTTCTGAGTGCAGAGCCATGAGCAGTCCCTGAGCATCACCAGGCATGGCCTCAAAACCAGAAAGTACAAAATAAAATAAAATACGCAACTTGGCTTCTGTGTGCTGGGCCAACAGCATTGAATCATTGAAGATATCTCTCGAGTCAACACCATGAGGAGTTCTACCTATGTCTTCCTCAATATAATCAGCGGGTTCTGGTCTGATAATGAGGTCTTTAATTCTCTCCCACAGACTGGGAAAGATTATTTACCCACCACTCAACTGGTAAAGGGTTGATATCCAAGATTTTACATAAAGCACTGGTAGCATGTTACTAGATCAAAAAGTATTAACCCCATAAAAAATGGAAGGGAAGGGGGCTGGAGCTATAGCACAGCAGGTAGGACATTTGCCTTGCACGCAGCCGACCCGGGGTTTGATTCCCAGCATCCCATAGTGTGCCCTGAGCACCGCCAGGAGTAATTCCTGAGTGCAGAACCAGGAGTAACCCCTGTGCATAGCCGGGTGTGACCCAAAAAGAAAAAAAATGAAAGAGATGAACAGAAATTTCCTTGGGAGAGACATAGAAATGACCAAAAGGTACATGAAAAAATTCTCGGTGTCACACTAATCATCAGGGAAATGCAAATCAAAGCAGTGAGACATCATCTCACACCGGTGGTTCACATCACAAAGAACAAAACCACCAGTGTTTGCATGGATGTGGGGGAAAAGGACCTTCATCCACTGCTGGTGGGAATGTAAACCGGTGCATCTCTTTGGGGGAAAAATGGATGCTTCTCAAACAAAACAAAATTCATAGGTATCTCCCATATGAGTCAGCAACTTCACCATTTGACATCTACCCATGGACCAACTCAGCTGGGAAGATGGAATCCTGCAATTTGCTGCTCTGTGAGAGTATCCCTGAGTTAGGAGAGGGACAGAGTGATCTCTCTCGGGTGCAGGATATAAAGAAACACAGTAGGGGGTGACAAATGCCCAAAGGTATCCAAAACTGAGAACTGGTCTTCAGTGGCTGGAGCGATAGCATAGCGGGTAGGGCATTTGCCTTGCAAGCAGCCATGTTGGTGGCCGACCCGAGTTCGATTCCTCCACCCCTCTTGGAGAGCCCGGTAAGCTACTGAGAGTATCTCGCCCGCATGGTGGAGCCTGGCAAGCCACCCGTGATGTATTCGATATGCCAAACAAAGTCTCCAATGGAGACGTTACTGGGCCCGCTCAAGCAAATCAATGAACAATGGGAGGACAGTGACAGTGACAGTGGTCTTCAATAGCTTAACAGAGTTGGGGAATGCCGGGGGCATTGAATGGGATGGGGTAAGGTGCTGGAATATTTTATGCACAAAGCCCTACCATTAACAGGTTTCTAAAATAAAACTAAAATAAATAAAACATGCAACGATGGGCTAGAGAGCCAGGACCCAAGGTTAGGTGCTTGCCTTGCATGTGGCCAGCCCCAGTTGTATCTCTGGCACTGCTTATTGTCCCCTGAGCTCTGCCAGGGGTCAGTCCTGAGCAGAGAGTCAGGAATCTTGGAGTATATCACTGGGTATGGTTCAAAGCACACCCCAAGATTGATTTTTAAAAATAGACAGATGCTCTTGAGAAATGACAAAATGAAGTTACTCCTGAAAGTCAAAAAAAATTAAAGAGAGAGAGAGAGAGAGAGAGAGAGAGAGAGAGAGAGAGAGAGAGAGAGAGAGATAAAGGAAGGCCTGAGTTCTCACGGGAAAATGTCTCATTCATGTTGATGTCAATCAAAACGAATGTCATTTGCTGGGGAGGGGCTCTGCACTAGCACACTAACCTCTCCTGTGTGAGAGGCCTGAGTTCTACCTCTGGCACCACACACACACACACACACACACACACACTGGAGAAATCTGAAACTAAAGAACCACCTGAAATCCTCAGATATGGTAAACTAGCGATAAATCAATTTTCAAAGTTGAAGAGAGAAAAGAGACTCATTTTTATTGGCTGGTGTTCTCAAGGAAGTCCTGGGTCCTGGGTCCTGGTGTCCCGGGCGCCTGGCACTGGGCTTTCACAGGACACTCAGTGGGCTGCTGCTCAGAGGCCTCCCTGCGTGGCTTCCTCTCCCTCAGCAAAGGAGACACCGGCTTCAGAAGGCGACTGTGTCTGCCGGATGATACAATATATGGTGAGGGAGGCTAACACCAACCCCCTACCCCGCCACCCGGCTCTGCAAACCCTAGCAGCCAATGACTGGAAGTTCAAGTGCATCTGGCGGCTGCTGGGCTGGCAAGGCTCACAGAAATAAAACAGAGTCCTGGAAAGAGGCTTGAGTGGTGGCAAACATGCCTGGGCAGTCTGAGGCCCTGGGTTGGATCCCTGACACTGTGTGCATCTTCCTCCTTCCTCCCCTCCCCTCCCCTCCCCACACCTCCCCCACCCCCCACACACACAGACACTAGTATTGCTGAGCGTGGAGCCCACACTCATGACGCCCCCCAAAAGAGAGAGAAATAAAATGACACTCGGATGACCTTTCCGTAAAGAGCATATCTTACTGATTTATTATAGAATGCAGTTAAAAAAAATAGTTTGAGGCTAGCCTCTCCAGTTTAAAAGCACTTGACTAGGAACACTTGAACAGCTATGCAATGGTCTCTCGACCCACCCCCCCACACACCCCGCCAAGAACTGTAAACAGGGTTTTGAGAACATTCAAGCCGATCTCTCGAGAGGAACGGCCCCCATGGCGTTTTCTTCTCGAGAAAAGCATCTCCCAAGTTCCCAAAGCATGCATAACGCGTTACTCGGCATGGACGGCTATTTCAGAAACGACCAACTCTGCGAGGGCGTGGTCAGGTGGGGCACCTAGTTACCAGACAGACACAGGACAACTTGAAAAAGAATAACACAGTTTGACCTAGTGTAACAGCTCCACCAGGGATTAACGGGGGAAGGCACTGCATCCTTCTTGTCACACCACCACCACACACCCACTTCCACGGGGAGTCAAGTCCTGCAAATGGATGAACAACGATTCCTTTTTTTTTTTTTAAACAACACTACACAACTCACAGCTAGGTTAGTACATCTTATGCTATCCTCCTTCCCCTGCCCGATTTTCCACCCCAAATGTACAAGACATGACTAGGCTATCTTTTTTTTTTTTATTTACAAGTAAGTGTATCTCAATGTTGGTAGCAGGGTATAAAAAAAAAATTCAACTATCTCCACCAAGAACTTTCCCTTCCTCCACCCTTCCCCTCCCCAGGGGAAAAAAATGATAAAGGGATTGGCTATGACTCCTACACCTCCATCACCATGAAGCCTAGGCCTGACCCTAGCATCTCCTCTGGAATTTTGCTCCCACTGTGGGTTGGCAGTGATACAGCCCCATCTCTGGATTTGGTTGACCAGGACCCTTCTGTACAGGAAATTTCAGCTCAAATGTTTTTGTTTTGTTTTTTTGCCCCAGAAAGCACAAGGGACATGTTGCTGAGTGAGGGCAGAGCAGGCAGTGTAGACCAGGCAGAAATCCACCTGCGGGTGTTGCTCCATTTGGAACCTGGACAGGCCATCCTGCTTTTTCACTTTTTTCTTCCAAAGCTTTCCTAACCTCCCAAGAGACAGGAAACGACTGGTGTGACTCTCTAGGCCAACGAGGGTTAGTTCTGGAGAATCAGGACGTGCACAAATGTCAAAACGTGGGGGTGAGGGGTGGAGAACGAGACACGTGACGGCTTCCAGGGGGCAACGCCAGTGGCTTCATGGGGGGTGGGGGGTGGGGCCTTTCCCGGCCAGCAGAGCGCCCTGCCCTGCCCTGCCCCTGCCCCCAGCCGGGAGAGGCTGGTCACCAACACGCTCCTGTCCTCGACCCCACCTGGGACAAACACGAAACCTACCGGAAAAGAACAAATACAAGAAACAACGACCGCGACCGAAGAGGGCTCTCGAGGCGTTCCCAAATGTCTGCGTGCGAACCGCCCCCCGCCTAAATGCATTCAGGGGGCGGGGGTGGGCCCGGGAGGGGGGCTTTGCTCGGGAGCCGGGAGCCCTGGCCGGACCCCCAGCTTCACGAGGACCAGGACACAGAGCCGGGCTGCTCTCCCAGGCCGGTGACCACCCGCGCACGCCTGCGCGCAGTCCCGGAGGCCTCCCCGCCAATGTGACTTTTGGAGCGCGGCTCTGGCCACTTCAGCTCAGGTGGATGGGCGCGTACTCCGGCCGCCGGGTCTGGATGATTTTGGGCTTGGGTCGCTTCATCCGGTCCATCTCATCGTCCTCCTCGTTCTCCTGATCGCTCTCGCACACGTGGACTACCACGCTGGGTGTGGTGTCGGTGGCAGCGTGCAATTCGTACTTCTCCCCTGGGGAAAGGAAAAACAGGAGGCTGTGAGCGTGTGCGCGCGCGCATGTGTGCATGTGTATACATATGTGTGCGTGTGTGTGCACGCGCCTGGGCGAGTGTATGCATGTGCGTGCGTGTGCATGTGTGCATGCATCTGTGTGCGTGCGCGCGCATGTATGCATGTGTATGAATGTGTGTGCGTGTTTGTGTGCATATGTGTGTTTATGTCTGCGTGTGTGCGCACGTGTGTGGGTGGGTGGGAACACAGGTCACATCACCGGGGGCCCAAAGGCTAAAGGCTCAGCACAGGGAGGGTCTGCCCTGTCCGGCTCCGGGGCAGAGCCGTGATTCTGCATCTCTTCAGTAGACACAGGGGAAGCCTGTGGGAAGCTGGCCCTTTAACCGACCAAGGGCCTACGTGCCTGTGCTATGTATGGTTATCTTGGCCTATGTGACCCTGAACAAGCGGGTCCTGACTAGCGCAAATCTGGTACTGCGTCTGCTCTGACCGCAGCCTATGAGCTATGTATGGTTGTCTAAAAGAAAACATTTGTCACAGCTAGCCCAAGAATAAGAAGTAACTGACACTGACTAATCAAGCACATGGAACATGTAGTTTTTGTAACTCTCCTAACAATATATGATATGACCTAGTGATGTAATTGCCTTCTGTAATGTAAGCATAGTTTCCTGCGTCGCAAAGTATATAATACCCCTGCTGCCCTGAATAAAGTCCTGTCCTGTCCTGTCTCTTTATCTCTGTTTCTAAACTGTACTCTGTCTCTTGTGTCTTGTGTCTTCATTCGGTTGGTCCCTCCCTGCACCTATGGATCCTAGGGCCACCTCCATGGGACAGAGAGTGGTCTGGCAGGGCCCCCCGCAGAAGCCGAGAGACACGGTGATCAAGAAATCTTAGGGGATTTGTTGAAGAAAAAACATGAATGCAATTTGATGCTATTTATCACAATTCACCTATTCTTCCTCCTCCTCCTAACTCTTCAGCCTACCTGAATCACAGTGCTCTCTCCTGCTCACTGTCTCCCCCTCCATAATCTACCCACTTGTCCACCCACCTACTTGCTCAGACTATTCATTCCCCTCTGCTGTCTCTTTCCTCGTCACCCCCCAACTAATTCACATGCTCACCTGGCCTCTATCCTTCCTCCTTATTTGTGCAATGAATCTATTGTTCCACACGCCATCGATCCTTCCTTGCTACCTGTTTATGCATTTCATCGATGAACACACCTGTTGTGGCCCCTGCCTGTCTGTGAGGGTCACCCTGCACACCCGGCTCTTCGCAGTCCTGGTGCTCTGGGAACCCGTGTTAGGAGGGAGGAAGACATGGGGTCACGCCACTGTTTCAATTCCAACCGGCCATGCTACCCAGAGGACGCCGGCCAGGAAAAGATGCTAGAGTATGAGGAAGAGCCTCCTGCTGAGGTTCCTGGACACCCCAGGGGGTCATGGGCTCAGCCAGCAGGCAAAGGGGACCTCTGGGTCCAGGCCGCTGGCCCCAGGCTGGGCAGAGTCCAGTCTCTCTGCCCCAGTGGGCTAGGATGCTGGCCTGGCTACTCAAGTGCCCGCGATACCCGCCTCCAACTCCCTGTGCAAGGAAGGGTCAAAGACATGGCGGTCAGGGGCTGACCAATATGTACTGCTCCTGGCTCTGAGACACAAATTCATGCTCTCCTTCCTGCCTGTGGGAATCCATTCACTTCTGCTTATTACCCTGGGCAGGAAGCCCGGGGGAGCTGCTTGCCAAGTTCTGGGTGCACTCCCCATGCAGGGCTACCTGGCTTGAATTGTTTGGGGGAGGGCGTTTCCCCAAAGCTGAAGACCCGCTCACTCAGGCTAGAAAGCAGTGGCCACACAACCCGCCTCTGGGCGCCATCTTGGTGCACTAACAGCCAGGGTCCAGGAACTCCCAACATGGATTAGCTTCTACAGAGATGTCTCTGGAACCCAACCATTTACAATGTTAGAATTCCAGAAGTGTGGCTGCGACCCCTCATGATATCCAAAATAAGCAATAGAAAATAAATGATCTAGTGTCTGCCCCTGGCAGGCAGGTGGTGGGAAAATTCGAGCAAAATATAATGTCCAGGGGCTGGAGTGATAGATAGCACAGCAGGTAGGGCATTTGCCTTGCCCGCAGCCGAAATGACTCAGGCTCGATTCCCAGCATCCCATATGGTCCCCTGAGCACCATCAGGAGTAATTCCTGAGTGCATGAGCCAGGAGTAACCCCTGTGCATTGCCTGGTGTGACCCAAAAAGCAATATATATATATATATATATATATATATATATATATATATCCCAAAAGTAGACAGTATCAGGGAAATTGTCTGTCTGAGGCAGGGGGGGGACTTGGATGGGGAGGGGTGGGGGGTGGATACTGGGTACACTGGTGGTGGAGAATGGGCACAGGTGGAGGGATGGGTGTTTGATCATTGTCTGGCTGAATCTCAAACATGAAAACTTTGTAACTGTATATCTCACAGTGATTCAATAAAAAAAAAAAGAAAGAAAAGAAAGAAAGCAGTGGCCAGGGCAATGACAAATGACACAGCAGGTAGGGAGCTTGCCTTGCACACAGCCCGGCACCCCTTCCCTGGAGTGCCAATAGGAGGGATCCCTGAGTGCAGAGCCAGGAGTCAGCCCTGAGCACCCATGAATGCGGCTCCCAAAACAACAGTAACAACAACAACAACAACAAAAGTGCCTGCATTGGGGCCAGAGTGATAGTACAGCGGGTAGGGAGTTTGCCTTGCACACGGCCAACCCAGGTTCAATCCCTGGCATCCCATAAGGTCCCCCAGCACCGCCAGGAGTAATAATTTCTGAGTGCAATCCAGGAGTAACCCCTGAGCATCACTGGGTGTGACCCAAAAAGCCAAAGGAAAAAAAAATAAAGGGCTGTATCTTCTCGGACATTGCTGAGAGATGGCAGAAATGAATTTGGTTGCCTGCGAATGATTTCTCCAGGAGTGAATTCCAGGGCACAGGCAGGCAGCCAGTGCTGGGTGGAATCCTGGGTATAAATCAGGACCGCCAGCCTTGCACTCCCATCAGAGTTGTGGGGAGGGACCCCAGTTGGCACTGGCGGGCATCCTGGGTGCAAACCTGCAAGGTCTTTTGGGCCAGAACTTGAAGGGCTCCGCCGGCTGGCTGGGACCCGGAGGAGGAGCAGGTGCTTCAGCAGTGCCTTGGACCAGCGTGGCTAAGGGATTGGGGGCTGCCTGCGAGTCCACCCAGGAACTGCAGCGCTTCCCTTCTCTGTGCCTAACCCCCACCCCCACCCCGGTGCCCAGCACTCAACCAGAGGCTGGCCCAAGGGGGCGCAGACTCCGTGCTTCAGCTGCTTCTCTCTGCACTTCATGCCGCCTGATCCCACCTTCTGGCAGTGGGGGAGGGGACGTTTTCCGAAACCCAATCTCCACCACAAACTGCTGATGGTCCCAGGAAACCGAACCCACACTCCCACCCCGGGGAGCTGCAGGTTACTGGTCAAGGAGAAAGGAGTTTCTTCCATTCATTCCACTGGGCTCCAGGGCAGGGCAGGGCAGGGCAAGGAGGGCAGTATCCAGCCTGCTCACCCCAAACCCTGCAGACACAGGAACCAGCGACCCTTTCGCAGCTTCCCCAAAACCAGATGCACTGGGGCGGGGCCATGGGGCCTGTTTCACACTGACCAACAGTCCACTCGCAACTCCGCCAGCTCAACCTTACATGGCGGGGCACACCTACTCCTCCAGGGGCTGGGACCTCTTCTGGGGCGTGGGAACCCCACTACTCCCAATCTTCTTAAAAAGTTTTTTTGTTTGTTTTCTGTTTTGCTGTTGGGGGCCACATCCGGCAGTTCTCAGGGTTTACTCCTGAGCTCTGTGCTCAGGGATCATGCCTGGTGGGGCTCAGGGGACCCTATGGGGTGCCAGAGCTCAAACCCAGCAAGGCAAGTGTCCTCCCTGCTGTTCTCTCTCTCCTTCCTCCTCAACCCCCTATCTTTCCTCACTACCATTCCTGCTTCTTCCTCCTGGAGGGGCATCAGGACCACATGTCCTAGTGTGCAGAAGGTCAATTTCCCTTTCCCTGGTCCCGGATGGTGCCTACTGGCAGGGACAGGCTGGGGTCAAGGTGGGGGGCTGGGCCTGAGGCTGACAAGAGCACAGTGCAGGACTTCCAGCACAAGGCGTCTGGGAGCAGATGAAGGCAAAGGAAACCATTGGCAGTTACCCCCACCCACCTCCCCATTACTCCTCCCCTGCTCCCCCCCCCCCCCCCACAGGAGGGCTGGGAGGGACAATGAGCAGTGCCAGAGCAGGTGCACCCCCTGGCCTCCCCAGAGCCGGTCTGGAGACTGGGGATGCTGGCCACCATCCCTCTGCCCCCGCCCCTGCCCCCGCCCCCGCCCAGCCCACAGCCCACTCTTACCTGGCCCCAGCTTGGAGATAGCGTATAAAAGATCATAATTTATGACGGGAGTCGCATCTTCCACTTGCTTCCAGCCAACCGGCGGCGAGGCCGGCGGGGAGATGAGGAACTGCTTGTCTGGGTTGGGGGGCGCCAGGTGCGCGCTGCCTATGTGCAGAGTCTGGGGAGAGAAGCGGGCACGGACTGAGGTGAGCAAGCGTGGGACCAGCAGAAGCCAAGGGAAGGCACGGGGAGCGGTGGCCAGCACCCCCTCCAGGCTCTGGCCGGCATGGCAGGGGTCCAGGGGAGAAAAATCTCAGCATCTCTCTCTCCTCTCATAGACCTCCAAGGAAAATGCCCCAAGGTGCTGTGTTATCTCCCGGACGGTCTATTTTTTTTTTAATCACCTCCGACCACCCAAGAGAGATCTAGGGCTCCCATCCTCTGTGGGGACCAGTCAAGAGCCAAATGTGATTGTGGGGGCCGGGGCCAGCACAGCGAGGCACACAGCTGACTCAAATTTGGTCCCTGGGGTCCCTCCAGGGCTGACCCCTGAGCACGGAGTCAAAAATAAGCCATGAGCACCACTGGGTATGGCCTGAGCACCACCTCCCTCCACCCCCCTCCCCAAAAAATGAAGAAAAACTGGGTGCACAGAGGAAGGGAAGATGCTGCAATCTCAAGGACTTTTCATTTTTATCTTCTGGGCCACACCTGGCGATGCTCAGGGCTTACTCCTGGCTCTGCACTCAGGGATCACTCCTGGCAAGGCTTGGGGCACCATATGGGGTGCCAGGGATAGAACTCGGGTCAGCAGGTGCAAGGTAAATGTCCTAGCCGCTGTCACTCGGCCCCCTTCAAGGACGCTTGAGGGCGGAGTTGGCCACCAGGGGGCAGTGCAGTCCGATGCCTATGGACGCGGCAGGGCTCCCAGTGCTTGGGCTTCTGCGGGGTATGCTCAGGGGACCACGTGGTGTAGGACTAGACCCCCGGATGGGGCACACAACACGAACCCTGACCACTGCACTACCTCCCGGGCCCCCCTGGTGATTTCTGAGAACAGAAGTCATGTGGAAAGTCTGTGTGAATCCGCCTGCTCTCAAGACAGGCTCCTGGCCGTGCCAGCCAGGCAGGACCTACCCTTGTTCCGCTATTGTTTTTTTTTTTTTTTTTAAAGAAAGAAAGAAAAAATTTTTTAAGGGCGGAAAAATGTACAAGATCTAGTGAGTGAGCTCAACTCTCACCTGAGCAAAATACAATTTCATCTCCTTCCCCAGAAACTCCGTCTTATGCAGCTGGAGCCTGGCATCCGCAGCCGACAGGGGGTTGCTGAAGTTGATGCGGACTCGCTTGAAGCTCTTAAAATACTGAAAGGTGATGTCCTTGTCATAGGTCCGAAAGAGGGATTCGAACTTGGCCTGGAGAAAAAAGAAAAGGGTCAGAGCGAGACCAGGATGGGTAGGGGTAGGGGTGGGGGTGGGTGGGGAAATGACTTGTCATTTGCTTCTGGAATGCCCTGGCCTGGCTTGCTCCCCACCCATCTGGCGCCCAGTCCTGGGCACTGGGTTGCAGGGACACATGACAGGTGGGTAAGGGTGCGGGGACCCAGCAGTTAGGGCCCAGCCCCGCCCCATCACGGATCACACCCCGCCCACTACGGATCATATACCACGCCCACCACGAATCACGCCCCGCCCACCCCTGCTTATATGCCCCACCCACCACTCCACCACTGATCATATGCCACGTCCACCAGGGATCATGCCCGGCCCACTGCAATGTGTGTGTGTGTGTGTGTGTGTGTGTGTGTGTGTGTGTGTGTGTGTGTAGTGGGGGAGCCTCAGGTCTGCAGAGTCGTGGGCTCGACCTGGATCCTCTGAAACCTTCTCTCTAAAGCTGGAGAGCATTTCCCAGTAGCCGTAGGGTACCCCCATCTGCCCTGCGCCCCACAACTGCCGTGTTCTGTGACCTCTACCGGGTTAGGGGAACCCAGATCACCACTCAGATAAGGAGGGGGCCCATGCATGTCCCCCCACTCTTTCATTTTCTTGAGGGGGAAGGTGGTTTGGGGCTACATCCCCAAATGCAGGGTGCGATTTACGGCTCAGAGCTAGTTGGGAGGTGGGAGGGGGTGTCACTCCCAGCAGAGCTCCCAGGTGGTGGGAATGGGACCTCCCTCAGCCGTGCACCAGGCAAGAGCCTTAACCCCTGGTACTATCTCTATGGCCACTCTTTCTTGAGCTTAAGAGCTCCCTGGTAGGACAAAGGGACATTGTAGGACATCTTAATGGCAGTTGAAAGACAAATGAGGTTAATAAAAGCCACCTGTTTCTTAATGTAAAGGAAATGGTTCTTAAAAAAAAAAACCAAAATTGTTTTCTCACTGTTCACTTATATAAAAAAAATTTCTGTATTTGGGGCCCCACCCTGTTGCTGGCTCTGTACTCCAGAGTCACTCCAGGTGTGTGTGGGGGAAGGTGAGTGGGTTCCAGGGACTGAGCCCAGGGCAGCCCTGTCCTATCTGTCCTTAACTCTGTCCTATCTGTCCGGCTGGTCCACTTCTTCACTGTATGTCAATGCTGGCCTGGGGTGGCCTTGGTCCTGGCCCTAGGGGGTGTAGATTCCAGAAAGAATTCTCAAGGTGCGGGGGATGGGGGGTGAGGGGGGGAGAGAAAGCCCAGTTCTGGGCTGAAACCTGGATGCAGGGTGCGTGGGACAGAGAAGGGGTACAGGGTGCTGGTGCTGGTGCAAAGAACTGGGGTGGGGGTGGGTGGGCACTGAAATTCCCTTGGGATTTGGGCACCAAGCTCTGATGGGGCCGTCAGAGCCTGGAGGAATGGGTGCTGTGCTGGGAACTTCAGGGAACAGCCTGTCTGGTCTTTCTCCCTTGAGGGCAGGAGATAGGAACCAGGGAAAAGCGGAAAGGTGGGGTGAGGAGGCAGGGTCTGAGCAGGATGGGCCCTCCAGAGGGGCCTGAGGAGGAGGAGGAGGAGGAGGAGGAAAAGGAGGCAGGTTGCCCAGGAAACATGGTTGCAGAGGGGAGGAGGGGTCCCCCAAGAAAGAGGCAGGCGTGGAGAGCAGGAGTCTGTCCTTAGGACCGAGGGGGGACGGGCTGGACACAGACGGGGCAGGTGGAGAGCAAAGACACATGGACACCCCTCAGGACGCCCCCTACCACTCCACTGCATGGACTGTCCCTTGCAGGGGTGCAAGGGAGCTGCTTCCCCCCAGACCTGGCCATCGGCCCTGCTGCCCTGCCCCGTGTCCAGGGAGGCTGTGTTTCTGGCAGCCAGGGGAGGCCGGCGTGGATCTGGAATTTCACATGACCTTACCCCCAGGCACGGGGGTGAGCAACCATCCTGAGGTATGATTCAGAATTGAGGGGCGATGACTTGAACGCATATTTTTAGAACGCCAAGTCGGGCCCCAGCTGCAGAACACGAGAGAGCACACACTAGCTGCTGGCCCCCAGCCCCTCCCACCACGCCCCTCCCTCACAAATCCCTGCTCCCCACCGCCCCGGTGAGCCATCACTGCCACACACCAAAACTGGCTGGCGGGGCAGCTTGTGGGAGGAGAGGAGAAGTTGCGCATTTTCACACACAGGAGGCGCCTGGGAATCAATCGGGAAGTCTGTGTAGATTGTACCCGCTGGGATCTGGTTCCAAACACCTGCCCGCCTGCCTGAGCCTGCCTGAGCCTTGAGGACTGGGTACAATCAGGACGGAACTGAACTTTTTTTTTTTTTTAAGATTGGCACCATGTGTAACAAACAGGGCTCAGTGTAGAAAAGCAGATACCGCGGAGCCCACCAACCAGAACACCCAGGACCAGCCCCATCCCATAGGGTCCAAGCCCAGACAATCCGCCATCTCCACCGCACACTATAGCATCAGTGACAGCTGCCTCCCGGGGGGCCACCTCTCTCCCTTGCTGTGATTTGCTGTGGCTGCCTCTGTTCTCTGGAGGCCAGCCCCGGCCTCTCACCTTCCCGAACCCTCTCACAAGCATCTATTGCCCCGAGCTCAAGCCCAGCCAACGGTCTCTGGGACATCAGCATGATGAAGGTCCCGTTCCTTCTCAGAAATGCCTCCCTCCAAACCCCAAAAGCCGCCCGCTGCTGAGAATGAAAACCAGACGACAATGATGCCCAGACTTGGGCCAGGGACCTGGAGATGTTCAACACGCCCGGGAGCTTTCAAACTCCCTTGAGCAGGCATCCCTGGGGTGAGGGATGTGCTTTCCAAGGCTCCCCGAGTCAGGGCTTTCACTCCACTCCCACCCCAGTCCCACGCCATAAGCGGCCCCGCTCGGTCCTAAGCCAGCATAGTTCAGACCATCACCACCCCCATGCACCCCCCACCCCCACACACACCCCCCTCCGTACCCCTCATTCCACGCAATGTTTGGAAAACTGCAAAAATAAGAAAACCAAAAAAAAAAAAAAACCCAAAAAAAACCGCCCTTCCCTGAGAAGCCTTACCCTGGTTTCACTCTCGCTGAAGATGTCACTGTTTGCCACCCCGGCAATCAGGGAGCTAAAACTGTAGTTAAAGTTTCTAAAGTGCATCTTGCTTTCCTAACAGGGCAAGCCAGCCAGCGAGAGAGCGCGCGCCCGAGCCCCAGAGCCCCACGGGCTGAGTGAGGGCAAGGAGAGAGTCCCAGAGGCTTGTCCGCCGCGGTCCCTCCCCAGAACGGGGGTTTATAAGGCACCGAGGCCCGGCCCCCTCCGGCAGCGAGGGAGGGGGGGAGGGGGGGCAGGGGAGGTGGTGGGGGGGGGGGATGAAGGCCCGGCTTTCAGGGCATCCTGTTTGGACAGCAAATTCCTGAGTCAAAGCTCCGCATGCTTGCAGACGGGGGGGACAGTGTCAGTTTCTACTGGAAAGAGGTGACGTCAACACCTTAGTCATTTTCCCTATGCTAATTAACCCCCCAGCTCAAGGCGGGATGGAAAAAAACGGCCGAGCGGCTTTTGCTTCGCAGCTGCTTTATCAAAACTCTTGGAGCATAGTTTCCACTGGAAGTAATTCCATTCAGCCACCCAGACACCATGCTCCCCGCCGGGGGGACGGACGGACGGCTCCCCCCACCCCCCACCCCCCACAAGAAGGAAAATGTCTGGAGGAAAAAAAAAAAAAAAAGGACCAAGGTCGGCCTCCAGGGTAAACAGTTATTAGGCTCCAGGCGCCGCGAACTGCAAAAGCTTTGGGAAACCTGGGACCCCAAGCTGGGTGCGGGGCTGGGGTGGGGGTGGGGGTGGGGACCGTCTGACCCGCATGATTTCCTGAAAGCCGAAACCAGAGCTTCTCACTGGGATGTGTGTGAGAATTGGGGGGAGGGGGCAGGGCGGGAAGGGGGGGGGAGGAGGTGGGGAAAGAGAACATGTTGAAATCTCGCTTGGTCAATGAACTCTGTTTTTAAAGGGGAGAAAAATTCACTTTGAAACGTGGCTTCCCCATGCCACCCCGCAGCGAACTTTTATGGGGTGAATGTCCCAATCCACAGAGGGATGGTGGCAGATATCCTGCAGGGGGCCTCTGGTTTTCACTGCAAAAATTAAAAAAAAAAAAAATCTCCTTGTTGTAACTTGAACATCAGGCACTGAAGCCTTTGATGGACAGCTACTGGACTTAGAAAATGATCCCCAGAAACCATCGTTTGAGGAAAGAAGCCAAGAGGTACCAAGGCACAGGCTGAAATACTTCTTCCTCCCCTCCCGCCCCCAACCTTCTTCTTTTCTATTTTTTTTCTTTCTTTTTTTTGGGGGGGGAAGGAAATCACACCTGCCAATGTTCAGGGGTTACTCCTGGCTCTGTGCTCAGGAATTACTCCTGGTGCTGCTCGGGGGACCCTATGGGATGCTGGGAATTGAAGCCGGAAGCTGGGCCAGCCGCGTGCAAGGCAAATGCCCTACCAGCGCTGTGCTATCTCTCCAGAGCCTCAGAACCTCTAATTTCTTTTTATTTATTTATTTATTTTCAGAAACTGGACCGGGAGATGAAATAGAAAAGAAACTTGGAGAAGTTGGTTTAGAGACGGAGATGTTATTAGTATATGGCGAGGAGGGGCCAGTTCCCAGAGAGGTTATGCCTTGGAACTGCAGGGCACTTGGTCATGAGTCCAGGCGGCTGCTGGGGGAGGTCCTGGGTCCTTCCCACTGTCACCATCATCCCCATCATCACCTGAAAACACTTTTAAAGGGGAAGGCTCGGTTTCTCCTGGCCGGCCGCGGCCAAGCAGCTCCCCTGGAACGGGGCTCCATCTCACACAGTAAACATGCCGGCAAATTCCTGGGCTTTTTCTGAGAACGGAAAGTTAACAATTTCCCAGGAGGCTAGATTCGGTCCCACAGCCCAGGCTCCCAGGACGCTTGGAGATTAAGGGGCAACACCCAGGAAAACAGCCTGAAAGGCCCCAG